ATTCAGATCCTTTACTTTCAGTAGTAAGAACACACTATGAAAACACTCCCACACAAGCAAAAGTCCTGCATTCAAAAACCTTAATCAAACATACTACAAGGAGTAGTATCAGTCTCAATTTAATACTGATGCCTCTATATGACCTACATAAACAAACAAGATCATCACAGAAGATTGGCTATTTCTATATAGTTATTCTTAATGCTTGCCTCCAGCTGGGATTTGGTTGGATTCCCATGAATCAGATAAAACGGGGCGGTCTGTTAGGTAGTTTAATCTACAGCAATACATCATATTCTTTAAGATCATCATATATTCCATATTCAGGCACACATTATTGTTCCAAGCACACTATTTGTATGTCTTAATACACATCTGGCAGGGATCTTAAACAAGCCGCATTGATTAAAAACACCACACGGAAACATTACATTCGGAGTGCTTTAGTAGTCCCCCGCACACTGTTACCTATGTTTGACCTTCAGTGTGCAGAATGATGTATGTGCAGAGTTTGACACAAGGATGGATGGATTCCATCTGCTGAGGGGGGGAAGAGTCTCTGTGCTCACTTTAAATCTGTGTTTAACACGTGTAAGTACATGTAAGATTTCTGACATCACAACTAGTCTGCAGGTCAATCCTGGTCCAACTTAAACAAGTGTGACAAGTCTGAAGCTGGCAGTGCACACACAAACTGAGAATAGATTTGTGAAGCAGGAGACATTTTGTCCTTTTTATTAAGTAAACTATTAAACTTTTGAAAGACCATTCACTTTTTTTATACATTCCGAAATTCTTAATGGAGATGGGGGAAGTAGGTATAATTTCAATAATTTTTATCTTGTTAATTGAACTTTTGAACTTATTTTACCATTGTTACCAGTGTTATTATTGTGTTATTAAAATAAACATTTTGTCATTTAATTGAAGCCCGACCAGAGTTATTTAAAGTTAGTGTTTATATATTAACTTACAACTTAATTGTAATTTTTCCAACTACAAGATAATTTCTTTGCCAAATAAAATACCTTGCACATCACAAACTTTTGCTTTTCTCTAGACTTCACAATCAGATATACTAAAGATAAAGAAAGCAGAGCATTATGACAATTACCTGGAGTCACTGAGGGTCTGTCCATCTTTAGTCCACTGAATGTTGACAGACTGAGCCGCTGACGGAGGGACAATCTGGCAGGGAAGTCTGGCAGTTTGTCCTGATCGCATTTCCAGCAAAGATGAGCTTGACCGTTCGATACTGAACCTGAAAGTTACAGGAACAGAGAGCTGATGTCAGTGATTGTGTTTTGCATTTATAATCTTCAGTTTCTCTTATATTGTATGGAAGAAACCATTTCAGTGTGTTGTTCCTACCGGGGGAAAGGTCCATCTCTGGGCAATGAGGTGGGAGTCAGCGGAGATGATCCCTCTGTGAGACACACACACACGATTGGATGAATGCTGCTGTCATAACTCACTCACACAATGTCACATTAACATATCATGCGTAACTGTTTCAAGGTCAGCATGTTCCAACACAACCTCTGACATCATATATGACATCAGGGCCTCACCCCGATCTCCTGGATTTACGTGTGACGGACTAATTGGGGTTGAAGTCGGTCAAATCCGAATTAAAATTAAGGATTTGACCGAATCTGGCCCCAATTAGCTGATTTCACACCGGGTGAAAGTTTTTTCTCAAAAGCTTTCTTAGAAAGGAAAGATATACAATGTGGAGTTCACCGGGTAATCTACGCTCTTCTATCAATGGAATTTGTAGATTGAAATTTTTAAAAATCTGTTTATGTTATTTTGTCAAGAAAAGACAATAAAAATCTTGACCTGATGGTGGCGTTAGAAGAAAAGCCAAGGGATCACCAAAGTCATTACAGTTAATTCTCTGGGTACCCTGAATATCTGTATAACATTTCATGGCAATCCATCCCGTAGTTTAAGAGATATTTCAATCTTAGCCACAAATTTATTCATGGTTACTCTAGTGGAAAAGTCAGTAGGATTCATCCTGTGGGGACCATGAATGTCACAAACCTTAAAATTATCCATTTTTCATGGGATATTGAAAAAATGTTGTGGTCCAACTGACAGACCTTATATTGCTATCCCTATATGGCCATGCTGCTAACATGGCTAAAAAAAAAGGAAAAAGTAATTAAATCAACAAAAATTTAAGCAAATTAGGAAATAACTTGCATACAGATGCAGCAGCATTACCTGTGACAGACAGATAAATGTAGCGATGGTCTCTCTCCTGTTCACGAGTAGCCAGGCACAAGAACCAACCAGAGTCTGACTTTGTAAGAGGACCGACTAGCAGGGAACCATTTGGCTGCTGGTGATGCCTAAAGAAAACACAAGTAAAGAGGTAAGGAATAATCACAAACATTGACAGAAAGCAAAATTAGATCTGTATTAAGTCACTGAGTGTGTGTGTTTCTACTGACCTGTGAGTAGACAGAGGGATGCCATCTCTTCTCCACTCCACAGTGACAGTGGAGGATGGCGGCGGGCTGACTCTGCACGGCATCACAACTGTCTGGCCCACTAAAGCTTCCACTGTAGAGGGGTCAGTCTTATCGATGGTCACTCCTCCCAGCGTCAAACTGAGGAAACAGGAGGGGATACGAGGATAGAGGAAAGGAAGGAAAGGAAGGAAAGGAAGGAAAGAGGGAAGTAGGATCAGGAGAAAGTTGGAAAACGAAGAAAGAGAAGATTGAAGGGAGGAAGAGAGTGAAAAAGTCACTTTATGCTCTACTGTTGGTACTTTTATTAGTAGTCACCAAAGCAAGCATAAAGATTGCCCACAACCTGGCTTTAGAAGTTTATCAGAGACAGCTCAGGGAGAAAAAGACAGAGAAGAAACCCAGCTTTGGCACACAAATGGCCCATGCAACATGAAAGGTGACGAGACAAACAATGAAAACCTTCACCCACAAAACAACTAACTCTGTGTGTTATAAATTGTTAAAAATCAAAGGTGATGATGATGATGATGATGACACACAAACACCAGAAAAAAAACAGCAAAGACGTTAAATAGCAATGTCCTCCCAAAGCCTATAATGTAGCTAAATACACACAACTACACAAATGTAAAGACAGACGAGGTTTAGTGACTACACACGTACAACAACAGATGAAGCATCACAGCAGAACCTTTATTAGTTGGATCTAATGACATCAAGGTGACAACACAAAGCCCAAAGGTGGTGGCGACTGACACAGTGAGGTAGCAGGCACAAATAAGCACAACAGACAGTGAAAAGTCCCAGAAGCAGTAAACAGTAGGAACTGTCCATTTACGGTCGCTGTGAGGTTCAACTTCTCCAGACATTTTGTCGAGGTTAAAGGGGGAAAACAAGGTGTTGCTGCTTAGGAAAGCGTGAGAGTCTGTGGAGCTAGACGTACAGTAGCGTAGCTGTGGTGTATTTTACAAAGCAAGTTTTTAGATTATATTAGCATCACGAGAATGATACACACTGTAAAAATGATGTTGCATAAAATAAAGAATACATGAAATGTTCTGTTGCACAGACAAGAAAAAATGGCAGAGGTTGCTTGACATAATGTCTAAAGAGTAACTTAACACCAGGCTATTATACTGCTCTCTTTGTTACAGGTTACAGCTATAACACCCAACAGTGATGTCATGATGTACTGACACACCCTGCAGTACACTCCTACATCACTGCAGCAGTTGAGAGGTGTTCTGAAGGTGTTAAGTTACTCTTTAATTAGCTAAAAGCTTGGAAAATAAGCTAAGATTGATAGATTTATTTAGCCTTCAAATTGATTTCTCTTCTGTCTTACAATTACAGATGCTTCATTAGTAATTAATCAATGTTTGTAAGTCAGATTGTGTAAACTGGTATCTTAATGTTTTGACTTTTTGTTGTATTATTGAAAATTCTGGAACTAGTCTCTATATAAATTTGTCCTGTAGGACTTTGTAGGACCATACACGGTCTGAATAGTTGTAAACAATGATAAACAACATCAACTTCATCATCATATTTTGGGGGAAAGCGAATGATGCACATGATTTGTCTGTCAATCTCCTTCAGACTCTTTAGCCCTACATTGGGGCTCCTTCACCAGGGGCAAGAAGGCTGTTCATAATAACAGCATTATGAGGCCAGCGGAAGCGGGGCTGGGGCAGGGAGTGAGCTTTTCGTTGTGCTCCCTGGGTCTTCGGGGTCTTACCTCGCTGCTGGGCCGGTGTGCTGTGCAGCAGTAGCAGGGGAAGGCCGGCGGGGCCGCAGATGGACTCTAGCTCTGTGGGCATGTGTGGCGGCACTTGTGGCCTGTCTGCTGGTGCCGCTGGTGGAACCTCCCTGGACTGTGAAGATCCTCCCCATGTTGCGTGACCCTCCACCTGTTGACCCTCCAGTGGTGGATCCCCCTGCTCTAGCTCCTCCTCCAGATGCGGTGCCTGCTCCTGATGCGGTCCTTCCAGCGGTGGGTTCTCTCCTAGAAGTCGGCCCTCCGGCGGGAGCAACCGGTCCCGGGCCCTGCTGGCTCGGGGCAGCCACCTGGCACGCCCTCTGGCACTCGGCCCGGTTCATGAAGTTGTTGCTGTTGCCGTGGCAACCTCCGTACCAGAAGTGCAGACACCTGGAGGTGATGACGTCGTAGTGGTAGCGTGGTGTCCAGCTGCTGCAGGAGCCGGCAGCACGAGGCAGGGAGCAGATGGAGCGCTCAACTGCAGCAAGGACAGAACAGGAAATGTTACAGACACACAGGCTGTACGTCAACATATTTTGTTGAGTTTTGTGTCTTATATTATCCAAAATGTTTCCAACAATGTTTAAACCCAGAGTCATTTTTTCAGGTAATGGTGCGTTTCACCAGTCGCCTGTCAATGTTGTCATATCCTGTTTGCATTGTGGCTGTCTGCCAGAAGCTGTCATGAACTTTTCATCCAGTTTTAAGCCACATTTTCTTGGTTGTTTTTAACTCTGGAGGAAGCTGATGAAAATTACAGTCATTGAACATCTGGATCGTAAGTTATCAGAGAGACAGGCTGAGCTAATGTTAGCAGCAGGTCAACTTGCAGCCCCTCCTTTGTCTGCCAAACAGTGTCGGAGGGACACTGATTTTTAAGGTAAAACTGCTTTATTCAGAGTTTTTAATCACTGGGTCGGTTTGTTTTAGAGAAGAGGAGACCTCTGCATATAATTCAGCTCCTGGGGGAAAAAACACCTGAACAATGAACTCTGAAGGAAAGCTAGCAAGGAAACCTTGAATTCTCACTCTGTTTATCCAAGCATTGAAAACTTTCTCATTAAGCTTAGAACAAATGGAAACTGGATCTAAGCCCATGACCTGACTCTAAACAGCTATCTAGTGCCACATCTTTGATTATAATCAACTAAGTTTCCTTGGCATGACCAAGACTACAACCCAACCCACATTTTGGGCAGGAAAAGTGTTATAATTGTATATTTTCCCCTGCTTACACTATTTCCTGTGAGCACAGACCTCAATCACTGGCAATGGAGCGTATCGGTGGCCAACCAAAAAAAGACTGGACAGATGCACATGGGAAATATTGTTCTCAGGATGAATTGTGACCAAGAATTCACTACAAAAATAGGAGTTTTAAATAACAAAGAACCTGAGATTCATGTGTTATAACATATTTGCAACCTCTCAGTCTCTTACTGTGGTTGGGTGGGTTGGGGCAGCTCTCCCCGTTGGGTCCTCCTGCAGGTGTGGTGCGGTCGTAACAGCAGCCGTAGGTGGTGGTACGGCACTGTACTGCATTCTCAGTGGGAAGAGAAGGAACCTGAGCAAACATGATATGACAGATCAGAATTATAGCTGTTTTTTACGGTTTCTTTCTGGCAGACGATACACAAGCAAACATCTTTTTTATGGTCGATCTGGTCAGTAAATTCTCACCACAGTAGAAGACTTTTTCCTAGCCAGAAAACGTGTGAAAGAAATTTCATGTATGTTTGCTTACAGTGGGTGCAAGGGCCACATACTCCACGCAGCCCTCCTTATTGGGGCCCTGAGCAGCCGTCACTCCATCTTGGCAGCAGCCATAACTGGCAAACAGAACAAGAACGGAGAAAGTACAAACAATAAAACACTTTGTACTGAAAGTTTGAGCCAAAAATAACAAAAATTTGCAAATTTGACATTTCTAAGAAAACCATAGCCTCAGTGAGGTCACTGAGTGGTAGTTATGGTGGTCATACATAATACCAAACAATCTCTGGTCACAGTTATAAAAGTGACAGTCAGACAAAGTCTCCTAAAAAGACTCCATACGTAACCTCAACCACGGTGTAATGACAGGTTGGAGCTGGATACCTGGTCTGAATGCAGGATGGCTGGGAAGCAGTGGGAGCTTGGATCTGTGGGCAGCCCAGACCCTGGGGGCCCCCGGCTGAAGTGCGTCCATCTGGGCAGCAGCCATAATAGGACTGGCTGCAGTGGAGGGCCGGGGCGGAGCTGTGAGGGTCGTGGACTGTGTTCGTCTGGGTCGGATCCGTCTCTGGCCTGCGGGCTAAGATGAAACCAAGCAAGGGGAGAATTCACACATGTGGACTAGACCCCACAGTTCATGGTGTTTTAAACAGACAAGACTACACAAAGCGACAGAGAAGCTCACACTTTGCTTTAGAAATTCACAATAGAGTCTAAGCTATTGTGCTTGAGGCCACACAGGAAGCTGAAACACAAAAGAATGCAAATACGGAAAGAACTGCTACAAAACAAACATAAAACATATATAATATAAAACACAAAAACATTACCAAACTACAAAGCTCGGGGGGAACGTGGAGAATGAACTGGGACAAGTAGTTCTTGCAATCATCAATAAACAATCTCACAGGAAATGAACACACACAAGACCTCAAACTTGAAATTCCTGACCACTGGGACGACGCTGCAGAATGCCAGAACATGCCAAAAAACACCACCGCCAGCACTTGCACACTTCAGTGCTTCCAAAATATTTTAATCAGGCTGAGAGTGCCCATGGACCCCTGAAAACATGTCAATCAGGCCTGGATAATTAGTGCTGGGACAGGGGCTCGATGGGGAAAAGGAGGGGCTGATGGGCACAAAGTGACAGGAGTTACATCAGCGGAGAGGAGGGGTGCTGGGGAACTGAAGGGAAGCAATTATTAGGGTGCCATCACACCTACAGTTTGTTTTATTTAGTAGAAATAATGGGAAAGGTTTTTTTTTTAGAGTTATAAATGTGAATGTCTTGTTAATAACTCGATTTTTGGTCTGAAATTATGAATAGTTAATTTAATTGTCATTGGTGGGTTTTGCTTATGAGTGAGCTTATTAGCTTAGGTGTGAGCAAAAAAAAGCAAGCAAAGAAAGACAAACAGCTAACAAAAGAGAGTAAGCTACAAAGAACTAGCAAAAAAGACAAAGAGCTAACAAAAATAAGCTAGCAAAACAAAGATCTAGCAAACATGAGCTAGTAAAATGCACAAAGAGCAAAAAATGACGAGGTGTTTGCAAAGAAAGTTACAAATGGAAAAAAATGAACTACAAATTATAAACCACCATGAATTTGTACAAAGTTGTGCACAAATCAACTATAAGTTGATGCATCTTAAACATAAAAACGTTTTTTGTTTTGAGGACACCGTAGTTGCTCCTACACGCTTTAAAGGATGAGCTGTGTTCAGTTGGCTGTATTTCGAAACTTCACCACTAGAGGCCACTGAATCCTACACACACCAGTCCTTTAAGTTTTATAAGATATAGTATTATATATTTTATATAGTATTATACTGTATATATTAATCTTTGTTAATATCCGTTAACAGAAATTCTTCAACATGCACCTCAGTCAGACTCAGTGGTTCATTTCATTATTTTTGACTTTCTGAGTAACTAATAGTGGCTAAAATGGTATATCCATATCTTGTAAACAAAACATTTTAACAAACACATCCTCAGTTTTGTAGACAAATTGATGACACTGTGGCCAGGAGAAGACATTAATCATCAGATTGAGATAGTCAAACCTGTTGCGTGGTCTGGCACATAGGGCTGGAAAACAGTCTGCGTGTTGTCGTGTCCTTGTGGGTCCTGAATGCTGGGAACCGCTGCGCAAAGAGTAGGAGGCACAAACAAAACAATGAGAGCTCAGTGCACAATGTAGGTGAGTGGTTGAATTATCTTGCTAAAGGCTCACAGCGAAGGAAAATATGATACTGTGGTCTATAAAGACGTTGTTACCACAGACACATTGACAAACACCAAACCTTAAATCATCTATGTGAGTCTATGTGGGAGACAGAGCTGCAGGGTTTGGGTATGTAGAGCAGTGAGGTGTAAGTTTAGTCTCATTAAAATGTCCTGTGACGCACACTATTCAGACAGACAACAATAAAAGTAAAGCAAAATATTTATACATAACATTGCAAGAATGCAAAATTATGCAGTGTAAGCAAATGGAAGTCTGGAAGTTTAACATTTGCATGATAATATATGTTGCAGGAAAAAAAGGCCTAATTTAGAATCTCATTTTTTAAAATTTTCACTCCGTTCTGTCTTATTATCATCTTGTTAATCATCTGTGAAGCACTTTGAACTGCACTAAACTGCATGAAAGCTGTGCAAATAAAGTTTGATTGATGGATTTTGCATATGCTCACATTGTGGGCTGTAGCAGGGCTGGCTGTTGCAGCGCTCCACTGTGGTGGGTTTGGCGTGGGCGTTACATTGATCCACAGGATACAGGTTCCTCTCTTGGTCTGAGCAGATCACTCGTCTATCTCTCGAGCCGGAGCCACAGCTCTGAGAGCACTGGAGGAAAGTGGAGATTATAATGAATGAAAACTGTCTAGCTGAAAGGAAATTAATGGTGTAACTGTCCCTGTATTGTTTGTGATTTCGCTGTTCTCACCAGTCCCCACTCTCCGACGTGCCAGTCGATCTGTTTCAGGCAGGCCGCCATCTCACAGGGTCGGACTGCAGGCGGGCGGAGCAAAGTGCTGCAGGATGTTTCCTCTAGCCTCATTCCTCCTGAACCAACACAGGTGATTTCTCTGGTCTGTTCACCTGGACCACACGTCACCGAGCACTGCCAACACAGCGGCACAGATTTTATAAGTAGGTGCACTACGCTTGAATGCTTGAGGCCTTAAAGTTATTTTTCTGTGATATAATTTCAGTATAAGAAAAGGAAAGTGAGGAAAATCTTATTTGAGCTTAACTTAAAACCATAATATCAGACAAATGAAGGTGTTTCTCAAGAGTCTGTAATTCTACCCAGTACACTCAAATATATCCCAACTGTTCTTTAGACTTTGGGATTCTCATGTAATCTTGGTTTTACATCTAAAACTTCGAGTCACAGCACTAAGCATCTATTCTTCCTCATATAAGTACAAGATACGCTTTGAAAACCTCCTGAACAATTAACACCTCACTGCTGTTTTGAAGACATTTCCAAAGACTCTTTTCAGCTGAAGTGAAGGATATTCTGTCTGCTACTTAAATGTACTACAAGGAGTTTTTAACTGGTTATGAAACAGAGAAGATCGGCTATTTCAAAATGGTCATTCTTAATGGCTACCACCGGGTCGGATTTCCCATTGAAATCAATGAAACAAGGCGGTGAAAACACTACCGCTTCTTGCTACAAACTTCCTTGTAAGGGATTTTACAAGATCGTTTTAAGCCAAAAAAAAGCAGCAAAGTCTCATTGCTTTTCTTGTATGTCCAATTTGTTATAAGGTTTTTTTCTATATTTATCTTTTTTTCCACTTATCTTCACTTTCACTTGATAGTCAGAAGATGGGACCAAGTCATTGTTTTGCAGGCCGCAAGTATACAAGTATACTTTTTTTTGCAGCAGACTGAATATTTTTCACTCCAGTTGGATACAAGAGTCAAACAGTTACGCCAAGATAAATGTGCTAATAACTGCAGTATTGTTGTACTAAGTATAAATACAAAACAGTGCTTATTTTACACCATCATTTGATATAGCTCATTAATCTTAACTGTTTGTTTCATTTGAATCAGTTTCACCTCTCTGTGGTCACCGACAGTCTGGAAGTTCACTCACCGCGCTCCATCTAGTTGCACGATACTCTGCACACTTGTGCATGTTGCAGGTCTGCAGAGAGGATGGTGCCTCAGTGTAGGCAGCACAGATGGCATCCTCCACCACGCGGGGGCCTGCGACATCGTGAGAGATGCACTCCACGGTGCGCACCTGAGAGCCTCCACCGCAGGTAACCGAGCAGGTGTTCCACTCACCGGTTCTCCAGCTGGGAAACCCACCGGGAGGGAGGAGAGACAGGACAGTCAGGAGAAGTTGTGATGTAGTACAGAGAAAAATGAAGAGTTTCATTCCAAAATTTAAAAAGCGATACCAAAGGGACAAGAGAGATAACAGATCAGACTCCAGAGAGTTACATTTCAATCAATTAGGTGAGTTTTCTATTGAAACCCTATTTTCTAATTTTGGCCAGCGACATGGTTAGTCAAGTAATGATATATTCCTGATATTATATTATATTGCATCATATAATATTGTTTTATTTATTACTTAATTAACATTTATTCAGTTTATTTATCTATTTTATTTTATCTATTTATCACTCTTTCCCAGATTGACAGACAAAAAACAGAAAGATATTTCATTTAAAATGATTCCAAAACAGAAAAGCAGCAACTCCTAAAATTTGAGAACCTGGAACCAGCTAAATAATGTTTGACTTTCTTTTCTTGATAAACAACTTTAAATGATAATTCACCACTTTAATTTACAACAGATTGATTCACTGATTAGTTTCTGCAGTAACTGCATATTATCCTTCAATATTTCAGTTAAAAAACAGTCTTTAGTTCGGACACATATCAGTGTTTTGGAATGAAACCCTTCAAATGAAATGCACGCATAAAAGGATGCATTGTTTTACAGCTACTAAACAAACAACTAAACTACTAGACAAGTTTAACTAGTGTTAAAAACAACGCATCCTTTTGGACGCTACAGTGTTAAACAATCAAAAAGTTACTCCCGGCTGAAAGACACAAAGTATTATTAACCTCCTGGTTAGTTTGAATAGATACTGATTACTAGAAGCAGACTGAAAGCAGGTCTGAAAACAAAAACTATGACCAGCAAGCTCACATTTTATCTCCCAGATCTCTTTAGCACACCTTTACAACTCAGAGAAATTAACAGTTTCTTGTCGTCCCTGCAGGATATCTTTCAATTGAGGAATAATGAGGGTGCAGTTAGCGTCACCCGAGCTTCATAAACATCTCGGGTTTCTAAGCAGCAGCGGCATCAAAGAAAAGAAGCAGGAAATACCAGAGGGTCACTGACTGAAGCCCCGGCTCTTTACTGCCACACCACTGCTGCTGCGTCCAATTCAGATGTACACAATCCCTGACACCTCCCCCCACACATGACAACCTCTAACCTCACAACACACCAGCTACACTAACAGACCGGCACAGAGAATTTTACAGTTTGCTAAAGCAATCAGGCAGCAGCCCAGCTCAGGGATCGGGTACAGGGGCCACAGGTTGGGAGGTTAAAGGAGGAGGAGGTCTTTGATGGAAATCTGGCATCAAATCACCACTAGGTCTCCCCGGAGAGAGTGTTAAGTGTGTGCAAGACAAATGAGGATCATTAGAAGGTTGAAAGGAGATCTCTGAACTGGACAGTTGCCCCACGCCTTCGTTCTCACCCCTCATGGAGGAACAGGCGTCGCGCTAAAACACAGATGCTAGAGTCAAACACATCTGAAGGGGGAGAGTTCGTGACAGACGTTTCAGTCAACATTTATTACATTTCTGAATCTTTTAGCACTGTTTAGTGGCAAGTAACTAAATATTTTTCAGGTGTCAATGTGAAGGACTACTAAAAACGATCGTCCATGCTCAGAAAAATAACGACTTAAAGGTCCAGTGTGTAACATTTAGGAGGATCTTTTGGCAAAAATAGAATATAATATTCATAGCTATGTTTTCACTAGTGTCTAATCACCTGAATATAGGAATCGTTGCATTTTTGTTACCTTAGAATGAGCCATTTTTTTTATTTCTGCCAATTAGATTCTCCTACATGTTACACACTGGACCTTTAAGGATTTAGATCTCCCCCTGTGTTTGTAGTCACCTAAAACTTCACTACGACCACAGATCCTGGGTTACCTGAATACATAGGCTCTGGGTCTTTCTGAGGATCTCCACAACTGTGGTGGATACAGGTACGCCATCCTTTCAGACAGTCACAACACACCAACAACAGTCAAAAAGCTGTTTTTTTTGCACATGTTGCTGACCTTAGAAAATCCTGCCAATGTACTGTAATGTCACATTTCACCAGTGAAGTTAGTTTACCTGCGGATCTGTGGGCATTGATGGGGGTTGCATGTGCGGTTGGTCTGTGGCCTTGGCAGAGATGCACAGAGATAGTCTGGGTAGGCCTCGTTATCAATGGTGCAGAAGACCAAACGAGACTGGTAGCCTAACGAAGGAAGAGAGAATAGCATGTTTAATGGTGCACGAGGCAGGATAATAAAGGCTTTAAACAAGTGCTTTGTCTGTATTCTGGCATTTTTCTAAGACTCTGACCTGATCCACATTCCCTGCTGCAGGCAGACCAGGATCCAAAACTCCAGTAATAACCCTCTCTGGAGCGTCCATTAGGGAGATAAAATTCATATTCCACTCCTTGGTTTGGCTCCTGGCTGATCAGCTGAGAGGAGATGGTTGCACGTAATGATTACACTCCATTTACAAAGATTGACATCATCTGTCTGTCCAAAGTGTTGGTACAAAGAGACTTATGGCCAGATTCCTGGTCCTTGGAGAAGAAATCCTTCTGTTTTTCCAACCCTCCGACCTTTCCTCTAACAAAATGAACAATCCTTTAACACCACTTTTATACAACTTATTTTGACTAATAGTTTTCCCAGAAATGTACTGTGGATATTCATGGTCCCTAGAGGTTAAATCCTTAATGCGTAAAACACATTAATCTGCCCAAAATGATGACTCCTTTGGATTTTAACAACCCAGTGACCTCTCTGTCTAGTGCCACCCTAACATGGCAATGCTCCAGTGTTTTGTATTGTGGGCTGTAATGTACATTATATCATGTACAGGATACTAACGCAGCAGAAATTTGATCTAAATCTGCAATAACAAACTTTTTTTGGCAGTAAATAAGATGTGAACGCGACACTACAATATTATCACCTTGTAAGTACATATAGTAAAATGTTAGTCTGCAGTTTAAACATCCAGCAGGCACTGAGCAACAGAAGGTGCCAAATGTAAGTCCAATATTTATTCTTTTTCTCTCTTTTAAAAGAGAGATTTGGAATTAAATATTTGTCGGACAAAGAAAATAAATAAAAGAATGAAATCTCAGTGTGCGTTCAATCTTACCTCAACAACGAGGGGTTCAGTGGTGGGTCCGCGGCCGATGATGGTTTCAGGGACACTGTCACCCTCGGCTCCTCGCTGGTAGTACAGCATGGTTCCAGCAATGGGTGTTGCCCTGGAAAACTCAATTACCCAGTGGCCATTGAGGTAGTACTCACCACGCAGGTTCTTGATAGCTGGCC